ATCTCGCTACGATGAATTTTCACTGAGTTATTGCTATTTGAAAATATTAAAAATTAGTGCTAAATTTTAAGTGGCCCGTTTTTTTTGCGTATGAGTGTACATATGTATGCATCATTGTATACGTACCTACTAACAGGCCGACTAGGATTTTCAGATGATTCTGATGAATGTTTCATAGTCGAAAATCCATCATCCACATTAAATGATGCTATGTTACCTACGTCAGCATGATAATTTATTATAAAGATATGCTAAATAATAACTTCGTAAAAAAGAAAAAAATAAATATTACCAGAGGGAAATAATATAGTATGTTTTAGTAGATCACCGCTGATAAATGGAGATAAACTGTCATCATCATCCGGTAACATATGATTGATCGAATCTGTTCCTATCGATTCAACCATTTCCAACCATTGCTGATTATGCGATCGAAACTTTTCCACTTTTATGCGGGCTGCCCAATTCTTGTCGCATATCTAGAATAAGTTGAATACTTAGCAATTCTTATAACACTACATAAATTATTTGGGGTGATCCCGATTGATCACGGTTCGATTGGACACCACCAATCACAGCGACCGGTGCTTAGGAGCTTTGTAGTCTCAAACGCTGTGAGTGGCTCGTGTCCAACTAGGTGTCACTCAATTATTTTCGTATTATTTAACACATATACTATATTTATAAATTTATAAAAACAAGAAAATACATGCGTTCTTAGTTACTTACAGCAATGACATCTAAACATGTATCACAGACTTTTCTTATTGCAGGGTTTTTATCATGCATTAGATCGATTAGATATCCAGGAGCTTCTGTAAATAATACAAATTTGCACAATTTATTTTAGTTTAAGTAAGAATCTAGACCACAGACTTCTATATATTCCACTAGGCTTAGGCCCGATTGCACCAAGATTACTTTGATTTTAAGTAAGGCTTAAAACTTTCTTTGTCTCTTTTTCGCTTTAAAACAAGACAGAGTTTTAAGTTTCGCTTAAAGACCCGTCTACAATACACGGAGTAAGAAGTAAGAGTAAGAAATTGACCAATCACAGTCGATTATTCTTCTCACATTCGACTGTGATTGGTTAATTTCTTACTCTTACTTCTTACTCCGTGTATTGTAGACGACGCCTAAAATCAAAGTAACATTTACTACATTTACACGGCACGCTTTACGCCGAAGTTATAACATCGATGTTATGAAACTGGTCAATCACAGTCATTCCGTTCTTCAGAGGAATAGCTATGATTGCCAGTTTCATAACATCGATGTTATAACTTCGGCGTAAAGCGTGCCGTGTAAACGTAGTAATTGGTGCAAACGAGCCTTGGACTGCTAAGGCTATGTTCGGAAACACACATCAGTGTACACATCAATGCATACAAGCCGTTTGAAAACACCCTTTCTTACTCGGTGTGCATTACCTCGGATCTACAATAGGTGTTTTAAGCCTTAAGCCATAAGAAATGGACGAATCACAGTCGATTATTCTCCTCGCACTCGACTGTAAACTCAATTTCTTATGGCTTAAGGCTTAAATCACCTATTGTAGATCCGGACTTAGTGCAAGATCGTTTGGAAACAGAGAGAATTACACAAAGGCTGCATTCAGGGAGACGCTATTAGCGCTATTTATATCATTCTATCTTCATCGTCCATTAGACGTGAGACAAGGATAGTATTACACAAATGACACTGATAACGCGCTCCTCGAATACACCCAGAGTGTGACCAAACCACCCGTTACCCCGGATCTACAATAAGTGTTTTAAACCGTAAGAAATTGACCAATTATAGTCGAATCCGAGAAGAATAAGCAACTGTGATTCGTCCATTTCTTATGGCTTAAGGCTTAAAACCCTATTGTAGATCTGGACTTACCCTGGATCTACAATAGATTTTTAAGCCTTAAGCCATAAGGAATGGACGAATCACAAGGTGCTTTCCATTTGATGACACAAATCGACACAAACGTCGTTCTATCCTTGTTGACATTCAGAGAGTGATAAAGATAGAACGACACTTGTGTCGACTTGTGTCATCAAATGGAAAACACCCACAATCATTTATTTTCCTCACATCCAACTGTAGTTGGTCAATTTCTTACGGCTTAAGGGCCATTTTACACAAACTTGCATAGCCGCATAAACGTGTGCATAAAGAAAATCATCCAATCGTAGTTTACGTTTGTCTTTATGACAGAAATGTGATTGGATAATTTTCTTTATGCATATGGTTATGCTCTGCAAGTTTGTGTGGAATATTCATAAGGGTTAAAACACCTAGACTGCGTTCGCTTTGGCTTATAGCGCTTATGAACATCAATTATCCTTGTTTAATATTTAATAATCAACAAGGATGAAACGACGCTTAAAGCGCCAAAAAGTGAACTCAGCCCGATTGTAAATCTGGACTTACAGAAGAGGATTTCGTGTATACAGGTGTTATTATCTGCTGTTTATTCCATGATAAGTGCTGAGCAATAACATAGCCCTGACGCTAGTGGTTTCTCTGTTGTGTCTACATCTAATAAATTTTTTAGGGGTTCCGCACAATACACTGTGTATTCCACAATACATGATTTCTGATAGGTTGAAATTCTTATTCTGTTCTCTGTTCCCTGTTCCTTTTATTGTGTGGAGCCCCTTATAGTAATAATATAAATTATAATGATAATATTAATAATTTAAATTAATATTAATATATAATAAATATAAAATATATACATATTACATATTTATATTATATATGTATATATTAGGTGCTTAAATTAATTCTCACTGTTTTTGCTACAAAAACTCATGTTTATTTCATCAAAAAGGTACCTGATATTTTATTCACAATATTGTTCATCGAAAGCTATAATCTTTTCCCACTTTTCGGGTAACAAATGGAGTCCGCGGTAGAAAAATTCAAGTTCAAATTCATTCTTTCGAGGCTATCTAGTCATTGAGCAATTTTTTGATATCTTTGAAGTAACTGAAGTGCTACTCAGAAAGAGGCATACTGCATCGACCGAAACAAATGGTAATCTGAAGGAGCAACGTCTGGTGAATAGGGCGGGTGGAGTAAGACATCCCATCCAAGTGTCTCCACGATTTCCTTCACTGGTTCTGCAACATGTGGTCTAGCGTTGTTATGAAAAAGAATAACTTTGTCATGTCTTTTGACTTATTGCGGGCATTTTTCTTTGAGTGCTCAATTCAAATTGAGTAATTGATGTCGGTAATGTTTGTCGGTTAGCATTGATGGTTTGACTCAGTTACAGCAGCTCATAATACACTACACCTACTTGATCCCATCAAATGTACAGCATGACCTTGATGTTAATGATTCGCCATGGTTTCTTGCGCAAATAGGATTGTCGTAACGAATCCATTTTTCATCGCCAGTTACAATCCGATGCAAAAACGACTTTCATTTTTGTCTTTGAAGCAATTCACAAATGGTTAAACGTTTTGCAATGTCTCTTTCTCTCAATTCATGTGAGACCCAGTTTCCTAGCTTCTGGATCATTCCCATTGCTTTTAAATGTTTACTAACGGTTGTCTCATCTACATTTAATGTTTTCCAAGTCTTTGAGTGTCTGATATGAATCTTCTTGAAGTAATGCGCGCCTCCAATTCTCCATCTTCAAACTTTTTCGGCTGTTTCAGGGCGCTCTTGTCATTCACGTCAAAATCGTTGTTTTTGAATTTTCTAAATCAATCTCTGCAAGTTGTTTCAAATAGAACATGCTCCCGTAAGCCACCACTAGCAAACAATGACTTTCAGCAGCAGATTTCTTGAGATTAAAACAGAAAAGTAATGCTTCCCGCAAATGTTCTTTTTTTTCGTATGAAACCCGACATTTTTAATGCGATAAAAAATTGTATTCTTTGCATCCGATCAAATGTTACATAATGATTATTAAAGCCTATTGACAGTACTTTTATATACATTAGCAATCACTTTCAGCCATGTTGAAATAGCACAAATACTGACCTCTTCCAATCAACAGCAAGAATTAATTTAAACACCTAATAATATTTCGTCGGCGGCGTTTATCCATTTTTACACTCAATACTTTCCAACTAAAATAACTTCAAGTTACACCAAAGAGTGATGTTTCCGAATGTATCCTAATTCCGTCTCTTTAACTGCTGCCAAAAAGTAGCCAAAGATATATGCATGCTCAAAATAAGACCCACACCGGGGCCTCTATTTTTTAAAAGAGACCTATACGAAAAACTAGGGAAATACTATAGTATGTATTACGGATACTATAGTATCCCTGGGAAAAAGAAATTAATAGAGAATGATTGGAAATAATAGGATTTCTATCAATTTGTATCGTTTTCTGTAAGTTTATATAATTTTCTATTGTAGACCTCGCGAGCATCACGATTGATCGAATACGAATCCTATTGTATTTTATCGGATTCTATAATATTTGTACAAGATTCCTATAAGATCTGATTCAAATTAGTGAATTCACGAACCAGATTCCATATTCAAAACGATAATAAGATTTTTCTATCATACTCTATTAACTTTTTTTACCAGGGATATCTCTAGTTCGTATACGGTTCTTTTCAAGAATAGGAGCCCAGTCCACGCATATAATCAGAGAAAAACTTGAAAGAGGACATGAGGGCCTTTTTCCTGTAACTGCAGAATGCTCCGTACACTACTGCTCTATGAAGAAGTGGATGTGCTCTCCTGATGAAAATAAATCGTTGAAATCTCTATTAATTTGATATATTTTAGTTATTTCAGCGATTTATTTCCATCAGAGGCACCACAAAAAATGGATATTGTGTAATTTACATGCACTTCTTCAAAGGATAGTAGTGTGTGAGGGCATTTTATGGTTACAGAAAAAAGGCCTACATGTCTTCTCTCAGGATTCTCTGATCCAATCAACAAAGATGTACATATGATATCTTGAATCGATCACACACTGAAAAAGAAGTCTAGTTATAGCTACCAAATATTGAGTAAAATAGTTTCAACTAAATGTTGAGGTAATATAACTAAACATAAGTTTACCTTTACAAATATTTAGTAAGTATTACCGTTGGTAATATTGTTTAGTAATATTTACTCAACATTTAGTTGAAACTATTTCACTCAATATTTGGTAACTATAACTAGACTTTTTTTTCAGTGCAGAGAGGTATACAATGGATACAGTCCATTTGGCGCTACAAATGCTTCGAAGCTTTTGATTGACCAATTAAAAAATGTTTCAAAGCATTTGTAGCGTCAAGTGGATCATGACCAATATCTTGAATCAATTATAGAGAGGCTGACACGATCTGTTGGCACCTCTTTTCTGCAGTCACGTGACGGTCTTATTCTGCACATCTAATTCGGGCAGGCAGTACCTTTACGTAAGGAAATCGTGGGGAGTTAAGTCCTAGACACAATAGGCCTGTTCTTTTTAATTGAACTTTTGCACCAGGTCATCTTTCTTCCTTATCTCTTCACGAGAAAAGAAGAGGAAGAAAGATGAATTGGTGCAAAAATTCAGCCAAAAAGAACAGGTCTATTGTAAGGCAACAGCAACAAAAATAGCGATATATAATTGTCGCCTCCCGTTGCACAATCCCACAAAGAAATAAAAATGCCAATCAATTTGATCTGGTATATAGACTGTAGTATATTCATCCATTTGCTTCAAGGTTATAGCACATATAAAGCCCATGGTACATACAAAAACGTTAGATAGTAAGACATAAACAGTATACGAATTAGCCAATTATAGTAAAGACCGTAAGGCCAATAGTGAATCCAATGTTACGATTTCCTTATTACGTCTTTGTATATACCGTGGGCTTAAACAAAGTGAAAAAGCTGAACGCTGATTGATTGGTACGTTATAAGATACAGAATTCCAACTTGTCGGAAATTTATTGCTGTTGCCTTATTCCGTGTTCCTAAGCAGTGATGCACATCTGGCTCCCGGGCAACACGAGAATCATCCCCACCACTCTCGCTGTCTCGCTCGCTCTCGCGCAGCAGCTGCGCGAGAGCGAGCGAGACAGCGAGAGTGGTGGGAGTGATTCTCGTGTTGCCGAGGAGCTAAATGTACACCACTGTTCCTAAGTGCATCGACATATGTATTTCCATATATTGGATTCCTCTGTTCCTATTGCTATCACTATTGACTATCGCTATTGCTATTTCTATTGTTATCACTATTTCCTCGTATAGGGCTTGTGCTTGTGTTTAGGGCTTTAGCAATCTAGTGTAACATATACAAGTCCATGATATGGATATGAGAAAGTCACTTTTGATTGGTCCGCCATGTTTTAACAATTCCTGAGAGAGAGAAATAAATAAATAAGGAAAAGAACAAATTAAGAGAAAACAATAGTAAATGTGTGTCCTTCTCTCTTACAGATTTTTGTTAAAACTATTACCTTGCATATAAAATTGCGGCTCATGTCTAGACCAGTGATGCACATCTGGCTCCCGGGTAACACGAGAATCATCCCCACCACTCTCGCTGTCTCGCAGACTCTTATTGGCGTCTCCAGTTTAAATATATTTATAACACTTGCCATACTATTTTATGCATCTTTATCTATCTTATTTAAATCTAATGATTGAGAAAATTGATTATATATTACCATTACCGGTCTCGCGAATCAAATAATCTCGGGTTGAATCATGTTTTGCAATTTGATAAAAAATATAAATAATTTGTAAAACCATTTCATCATCCTCTTGCTTGGCTGTAATGACATTACATATTGAAAATAATGCTTGTCGGGACATAAACGTATGGTTAAAATATGTATGGTTTTTTGTGTATGTTTGCTTTCTAATACATACCTTTAAGCAGTTCGATAAGAGAGAGAAGTATATCAGCCTTACATAACAAACGAGCACAATCTTCATCATGAGCTGCAGTGCCGAGAAATATGACAATCTCAAGAACTATATCATCTTGCGCTTTACCTATAGATATAAAAACGATGTAACAAAATCTAAACTAAGATTTAATATTATTTACTTCAATTCTATATATTAATATTAAATGTGTAAAGAATAATACAAGATACAGAAAAGAGAAAGAAATCATACCTGGAACCAAATTATTACGTATCCATGGTATAAGATTGCAGCGTTGAATGATTTGAGAATAATCCAAATCAGATAATTCCAAATTGCCTAACACGCCAATCACTTCCAGTACAAAGTCTTGAGAATCAGACTGAGTCAAGGCCATTGCAAAATCACCCACAAATTCCTATTAAATATATATGAGCAAAAATTACGATAATAGTTATATTTGTTATATTAATCCTAACGTTAATGTTTCAACTCACGACAAAATTTTCCTTTATTGAATCGTGTTGGGAAATATTTCTAATCATCTTCATTACAAGGGCATCTTGATTTCTAAATGCAATTTTTATGAGACCTTGCAAATGATTATTTTCCACCATCAGTTGCGCATTTTTATTATTAATAGCTAAATTTATGCCGAGTGCTATTAATTCAGATCTTACATGCTCATCTTCAGAATTTAATACCATGCTCGTTACCTAAGTAGAATGTACAGATGTTATGTAGTTAATTTCAAGTTTGTTAAATTTATATCAAAACCTTATAGATTTTTATATACCATTGAAATACAATCTGTATTTGTAAACATAGCTTTCACTTTGTCATCCATACTGACATGATAAAGTAGTCCTACAATTGTGCTCTTATTTTTTATATCAGCTGCGAATATAATATTGACAACGTATATAGAATTAATACATTGAAGATTATGTAGAATTTTTTATACATTATTATATGTAAAAACGAGAGTATATGTATCAACACAAATCTTACCTTGACTAAGCAACTTTATCCATTTTGGTAACATACCCACTCTAATCATTCTTGCTCTCAATTTAGCATCAAAAGAAAGATTAAATAGCAATTTTAAAGTACTTAGCACAAGATCAGCATTATTGTTTTGTAAAAGTCTTGGTAATTTGTCTATAATATTTTCTTCTATCTGTAAATGTGGGTGTACATTTACATTTTTATATAAGATACATTTTTTCATATGTGATATTTATATAAAATATTTAATATTACCATAAGATCTTTGTTTTCGCGAAAGATGGATAATTTCTTCAAAAATGTAACAACCAGAATCAACAAGTCTGTGTTCGTCCTGTCTAATGTTTTAATCAGCATACCAATGACATTTTTTTTACGCATTTTCCTTTCAACTTCCATAGCGTTTTCGGCAATATTTAAGAGTAGATAAAATGCTACTCGCAACAGTTGCTCTTGCTTTTTAGTCAAACTCTTAAACTTCTTGCGACTTTTTTCTAGTTCTTCCTTTAGCTTCTTAACATCACTCTCAGAGACGGTTATAGATACTTCCACAGATCGTTTCTTGACTTCATAATCTAACGGACCTTCCATATTCCAAATATCATCAATGATTCTAATTTTTCTATCACAGTTGTCATTATTGCTCGCTGGGAAAAACGTTAGACCAGTGATGTTTTCAAATTGTTTCCGACGTTTCTCCATATCCTCCTTCCACTGGTCATAGCGACGTAACTCAAAATCAATTATATCCATACAAAGAGAACCAATCTACATGAAAGAAAAAAATGTGAATATAGTTCCAAAGGTTGTCTAATTCTTCCAAGTTTCATCAACGTTTGCAACTTACTCTATATTCGAGCACAATGTTATGAAACTGACTATACGTTGAGAAGCAAAAGAAGATATAAATGATGTTTGTGGACAGTTCTATGCTGCGTCGCCAATCTTCTCTCAGAACTCGAGCTAATGCACTTAATAACGATTCTGTATGAACAAAAAGATAATCTCATATTATAATTAATCACAAATATTTTCAATGATACATAATTTTCTTATTACTATTATGAATCAAATTAAAATTTTCTAAAATTTATAGAAAAAAATATATAATACAAAAATTACCATTTTTTGTCAATTCCAAAAGGTTATCAGGTACCCTCGCTAATTGTAAAATTAACAATGAACCTTTAATTTTGGCTGGTATTTCTTCGTATAATAATTCAATATAACTATCGACGTTACTAATGACTGAACGTTCAACTTCGATGTTCTCTGTGATCAATGAATTCGACGATGCCGGTCTTGGCGGCTGAAAATTACTATCACTACCTAAGAAAATTATAAATTTATTAAACTTCTAGAATCTCAAACATATAAAAATAAAAACATAAAAACCATGTTACATTACCTGCACTGATATCATTGGTTCGACGATTTTGTAGATAATAAATCAATTGCTCAACCTCGTGCAGTTTAGATTCATGTATCAATGAGCACTTTTCCATTACCTCTTTGGCTAAGAGAGAAACATTTGTGTCGGCGTTTAAACTCTTCAATCTGATTATCTTTTGACATTCCTATATACAATGATAAACGTACAATAGCTCAGGTCTTGCAAGTCAGTTATTTATGTAAGAAAACGTACTTTACGATCGCCGAGCATAGGATCTCCCAGTTCCCCCAATATCAGTGCCTCAACATCATAATTTACTACCAAAGCCTTCTCTGTTGGATGGACATCCAATGTCCCGGATCTTACTTTCCTAAACATCAATTATTAGAATCGTATAAATTGTTTTTATGATGTAAGCGTGCTCACATGCTGTAAGCAGTTTTTTTTTCGTCTTTTTGTCTATCACGCGAAGTAAGAGAAAAGGAGAATCAACCTGATGGCGCGCGGGCAGAAAAAGTGGAACCGGTTTTTGCGTTGAATTGGGAAGGTCCGCTGAGAGGACTTAAGCTGGAAACACAATAGACACAGACAATAGGCACAGGCAACAGGGAATAACGAGCCGTCCAATCAGAGCTTTGGGGTATAAGTTCGATATTATATCCCAGAGCTCTGATTGGACGGCTCGTTATTCCCTGTTGTCTGTGCCTATTGCCTGTGTCTATTGTGTTTCCAGCTTAACTTGCAAATTTGGACGCCATTTGCAATATCAATCTTACCTCACTTTATTTTGCTTTACTTGCTGGGGCTTTATCCGATTTATCCATATATGCCAGTGGTGCACATTTGGCTCCCCGGCAACACGAGAATCACCCCCACCACTCTCGCTGTCTCGCTCGCGAGAGGGAGCGAGACAGCGAGAGTGGTGAGGATTCTCGTGTTACCCGGGAGCCAGATGTGCATCACTGATATATGCACCCTATGGGTAAGTTCAGAGAGCTCACTACCGTACTACCAAAAGTCTCGTTTGCTTGCTCGAGTAGGACGGACGCTCGTCTACCCTGCTTCGGATATTGCATCATTTCATTAATTTTTTGAAAAGCGATTCCGGCTTTAACTGTGATTAGTAAGCATGGCCATGTTCACCTCGTTGTCGAGGGCCTGGGCCAATTAAATAAAGAAGAAGAACCGTACTACCAACGCTAACGCTACCATCTTTGTTCACCAAGCCAATATAGCGCTAGCGAATACAAGCTCTGTGAACAATAATAGTGTAGTGTTTGCCCTAACCGTACCTAGGGTTGCCAGATTCAAAAGTGTAAATTACCGAACATTTCGTTTTTGGAAATAAAATCGAACCGGACAAAACAGGACATAAAAATAATCATAAAATTAGATTAAATAAAAAATTTTGTAAGAAATTACAATAATTACCTTCGCTTTATCTCTCTACAATATCCGAATATGTATATACACTGCCGTCGAAAAGTTTCCGGACATATAACTTAAAATTACATAATATTCAGGTCATCGTAACTCGATAAAAAATCATCGCAGACGAAAAAATAAAAAAACATTTTAAAGCTTAAAACTTATACTTTAGCATGCTTTGGACCGCTTTTCAAAAAAAAATGTGTCTTTACAGATGTATATCTTAATAAATACCACGTTGTTGTATTTCTTAAAATTACGTACATTAACATTGCGCAGTTTGATAAAGTTTTTTTTTTCAAAAAGTTCAATATTTTTGAAAAACAGTACAAAGATTTACCTCCAAAATGCTTTTTTAAAAATTTTCTTATGATTTTTCTTGACTGAATTACGCATCATTGAAGCTAAAGCTGCATAGCTCACAACCAACATTACAATTCGGTGAAATACCATCGTAGAGGTATTTTGAAGCTTGAAGTTTGTACTTTAACAAGCTTCTGATCGTTTTTTAATTTAATTCTACAGAATTGAGAAGATAAAATTTTTTGTGATAATTTTTTACCAAATTTTACCAAATTTTACCAAATTTTAAGTTGGTTATTTAGCAATGCAGGTTTAGCTTCAATGAAGCGTAACTCAGTCAAGAAAAATCATAAGAAAATTTTTAAAAAAAGCATTTTGGAGGTAAATCTTTGTACTGTTTTTCAAAAATATTGAACTTTTTGAAAAAAAAACTTTTTATCAAACTGCGCAATGTTAAATGTACGTAATTTTAAGAAAGACAACAACGTGGTATTTATTAAGATATACAACTGTAAAGACAATTTTTTTTTGAAAAACGGTCCAAAGCATGCTAAAGTATAAGTTTTAAGCTTTAAAATGTTTTTTTATTTTTTCGTCTGCGATGATTTTTTACCGAATTACGATGATCTGAATATTATACAATTTTAAGTTATATGTCCGGAAATTTTTCGACGGCAGTGTATATCGGGTGTTTCAGACCACCGGTCCCACCCTTTTATCTTCGCAGGATAAGGTTCAATCGAAAAAGTGTTCAGACAAAAATTGTAAGGTTTCAAAAGATCTATTTTCTAATGCTATGAGTTTTACCTCTAGTGGCATTACCAAGGTCAGGTCAATTTAGAGCAACTGAAAGATTATGGCGAGAACGATACCCGAATCGCACTCCCCATTCACACCATGTTTTTTCTCGCTTAGCTAAGCGAATTGCTAATAAAGGTATTACTCTACCTGATTACAATAAAAATAGACAAATTCAACGCCCAATTAAGGCCCAAAGGGCGCCAGAAATTCTTGCATTTACTCAATTGCATCCCCACGATTTATTAAGGCGTATGGAAAAAGAATCTGGTATTAGTGCTAGTACAATTTCGCGGATTTTCAATGAAAACAAGTTACATCCGTACAAAATGACACTTCACCAAGAACTTACGAATACCGATGTTAGACGCAGACTCGAATTTTGCAATTGGATACGTCAACAACGGCGAAACTTTCATTATAAAATTTTATTTCCTGATGAAAGCACTTTTAAAAGTGATGGTTCTGTAAATACTCATAATTATCGTTATTGGTCATAAGAAAATCCTCATTGGTTTCGAGAAATTGACCATCAACGTGTTTGGAAAGTCAATGCTTGGTGCGGAATTATTGGACATATCGTTGGACCGTTTTTCTTTGAAGAAAATCTTATCGGTGTTCGATACGCCAATTTTATTGAAAACGATCTTCATCTCTTGCTTGAAAATATTCCCTTACAATTGCGCCAAATTATGGTTTCAGCAAGACGGATGCCCAGCGCATACATCTAGAGTTGCCTGTGACCGATTGAACGATATGTTTAAAGACAAATGATAGGCAAATATGGCCCACATCAGTGGCCACCATGATCACCGGACCTCACTGTTCTCGATTATTATTTATGGGGAAGAATAAAAGATCTGGTATACCGCGAACGTCCTACGACAAAAGAAGATATGATTCGAAGAATATGAGAAGCAATTCGTTCTCTAGATGCTGATGAAATTTTTCATGCAACAAGTCATTTCCAGACAAGAGTACTTGCTTGCGTCGAAGCAAACGGTAGGCACTTCGAACATTAATTAATCTGAACATATCTGATTGTAGGCGCACACTCACACAAATACACACAAGCGCGCGCGCACGCACGCACACACCGTAGGGAGGGTTTGGAATCATAAAATACTGTGGAAATGATGACCACAGGGTCCTTATTTCTACGTACACGATACATGGGATCTGATATCTGCCACGTCCTCGTCGTAGATCCTGGGTTATGCTGAGAGTAGACATTGCAAAAATATTCTTTCCGTTAAAAGTCATTTCAATGCTTATTTGAAGGTTACATTTGACGTTTTTCAAAAAAGTGCTCGGTATAAAAGTTTCATGTTTTTTCGTGTACCTTTAATCTAAATCCGCAATAAAAGATACCATGTTTCAATGAAAAAATCAATTTCCGTTCGAAACTGGGAATTTAAAATAGGTATTTCCATTCGATAGTTTGCACCCAATTTATTTATTAAAATTTTTTGATAGAAACCATTACCTTGATTTTATTTTAAAAATGGAAATAAGAGGAACAACCACCAAAAGTCTTCATTTTGGCAAATGTTGTCAACGTTGACCCCGTATAATTTAGAAGGTTATGACCATCATTTGGATATCTTAGATAATACTAATGCCGGAGGTACTGTAACCTTCAAGCCTTATAACTCAAAAAGTACTTAATGAAGAAAATGAACTTAATTATAGTGTTTTGAAAAGCACTCGAGACAAGCTACAAGAATATGCAATAAAAAATTAGTGTTTCCGTTTAAAAAAGTCGACGTGACCTTGACCTGACCTTGGTAATGTCACTAGAGGTCAAACTCATAGCATCAGAAAATAGATCTTTTGAAACCTTACAATTTTTGTCTGAACACTTTTTCGATTGAACCTTATCCTGCGAAGATAAAAGGGTGGGACGGGTGGTCTGAAACACCCGGTATACATATTTGGATATTGTAGAGAGAGAAAGCGAAGGTAATTGTGGCGGTCTATTTGACACCACATACATATTTCGAACAACCCGAACGAAGCAAACTTCATGCGGATGCATTTGTTTCCAAGACCTACTTGAAGAGATTCGGAAAAAATTAATTTCTCAAGAAATTAATAGAAGGCGCATTTCGGTAGATCTTCTCGTATTCTGAAAAACTCTGAACGGCTATATAAAGGCATGGCCAACGGCTTGATTTCGTCTCTTGCAACATACTGCAAGAGCATCCATCCTTTTTGTGGTGTAACCGTGGAGCCTGTCTCTCGTCGTTCACGGATCATTCCCTGGTGGAAGAAATCTTCCTCAGCGAGATCCAGCGAGCCGTTACAGTTTCAAGAGGTTACACCGAGTAATCCAACGGCAACTAAGCAACAGGGCGAATCAACATCCCCTCCAGTGATCTGGCGACTATTTAAGGTGGACAATTCATCGCCGGTCCTCACAAGACCTCCGAGCTTCCTCCTGGCCGGTAACGACCCGAGGGTTAGGAGACCGCTGTCTCCCAGTTATCCGGTACCACCGCCGCTCCTGTCTCCGCTACCAAAATCTCCGAGTGACTTCTCTACGAAGGCAACGCAGACCCTGCCTGTTCCTAGAGTTCACCGAGGAACGCTGAGCCTACCGTAGTTCACCGAGAGACGCAGAGCGACTTAACATCACAGAAACAAACATCTACACCACCAGGATCACCAGCTAGCTACACACCACCAGGACACCAACTAGCTACACACCACCAGACCCACCTCCTGGATCCTACTCTCTCGACCTTTCACGCAGAAGACTCTGGGGACCTAAGAGATTCACTCAGACAAAACCGACAATCTCTTATAGAGAAAGAATTATATAGTTTTTGTTATAAACGG